GTGGATAAAAAATTAATACTGAAAGAAAGGAAATAATTAGCAAGAAGCTGGATCTGAATAGGTGATAAGTACCTCAGATAATTACAAGAAAATAATCAAGATCATAAATAAATAAGTTTCTCAAATAGTTAGGAAGAAGAAGAATATCTTAGAAGGGTTGACTTCTAATGAGAGGAAATCTTTAATAGAGGTTCTTTGAAGGACATGGAACAATTATATATATTTTTTTCTTTTATTCTTTATGTATGCACAATTGTGCATCTTTAGATATACCTCTTCCTTTTATTTTTCCTTTCTACTATTGTAATTTCCAAAATTAATTTCTTGGAGGATAATTGATAGTGTTAACCTACTAGCAATGATAGGTAAGTTGGAAGGATCTTTATTCAAAACTTATCCTAGACAAAATATCATTTTCAAGGTTGCATTTAGAGGCTGAAGCTCTTCTGAGAATTGAAAACCATTAATAAGTGAGTTAGTATAAGATTTAGTTTAACCATGATATATTTGTCCAATGTATCACAAATAGTTTTATTATTTATAATTAATAAATATACAATACTGACCTAATCATGGATATTAAAAAAAAAATACTATAACAACAATACTTAAAGATTGGATAGAAGTTTAAATTTTTTATGACAAATACAAGGGACCTGTCCCTTTCTGGTTCAAAAATATATTAAAAAAGCAATAATAAACTAGAATCTCTTATAAAAGTTATTATATGGAATAAATTAAATAAGTTATGATATATATACCATAAACTCTGAATAATAGAAAAACATATTGAAACATCTTTCTTAGTATTCTATATGAAATGATATGAAAGATCAAGTTCTCAAATAGTAAAATTTATATTATTCCATATTAGTTTTTATATAAACCTACTAGTAACTACATACTTCTCTATCCTGACATATCAACTCAGCTCCCTAATGTACTACTTAGACAAATCCATCTACTTTTGTATTTACAAACAAAGGTGTTTAAGAAAGAAAAATAAATTTTTGTTTCAAGTAATTTTATAGACTGGCAGATATCCTAAGTAATCAAAGAATTGCTTTTCTAAATAATAATTCAATTGAAATAGAGATACTATAGAAAATTGAAAGACAACATTGATTAAATAAGCAATTCAATTGAGAAATATTAGGATAAATTGATAGGTATTTTAAGATGTAATAAAATGAAAATGAATAATCATTTCACATTTTATACAAACAGTTCTTTTAAAAAATTGGTCCAAGATAGTAAATTAAAAATGAGTTTTATATGGATTCTAGTAGATTCTAAAGCAGTTTCAGTAGAAGTAGTACTATGGTTATTAGTAACTAGAGCAGAAATATTAGTTATTCTTAATACTCTATATACAATTTCTCGAAGTACAACTATATAGACTATCTTACCAAATATACGAGACATGAAAATTTAATATTATAGTATTAGTTATCAAAGCTTAAAATTATTTTAATAATAATTTTATAAAGAGTGCATATAATAAACATTACTATCAGAGACTTTATTAAAATAGTGATTAAGAAAAAAATTGAATTGGACTAAATATTATAAAAGAGAATTCAAAAACTTTGAATTCAATAATACAAAAATATAGATTGGCCAATTTTTTTAAACTAATTTAATCTATTCAACACCTTCCATACATTTTGCAAAGTCAATAAAGACAAAAGTTTTTTGACAAATCTAATCTATAATAAGAAGATATATGAAAGAAAGTATATAAAATAATTAGTCTTTACATTAATAAAAAAATTGAATAAAAAAAATCAATCTTTTTTTAATATTTTTATCTGCTAATTCTCAAAATTTTAGAAAAAAATTTTTTATGGTAATTTTCTAAAGAAAAAATCTTCTTATAAGAAACAATTTCAAGAAAAGATAACAATAACAACAACTCTCCTTTATACAATATACACTTGACTTCTGATAACAAGAAAGGAATAATATTAGTCAACAGCAATATTCTTATACACTTGTTTTGCTTAAGGAAGAAGAAAAAACAAGAACAAACTGATTCACAGTAGGCTTCTTAAGACCTAATATCAATTTTACAAAGTTCTTAACCCTGCTAGTACAAGTTAACACCTTTTTAGGCACTAAGAGGGGTTTCAGAAGCAATAATCCAAACTGATAAATCAGTTCAAAGTCAGGGTTCCAAAAACTAAGAAGGACATTCAAGTTTCTTGGATCAAATAGTAAAGATTAGTAGTAAACAATCATAACAACTGATTTATCAACTTTCATTATGTGAACACAAACATGTAAAGATGAATATAGTCTAGCTATAGCAAAACAACAACTTAAGACACATCAACATATCACAAAGAAGTAACATATGTCAATCTGACTATATCATAAGCAATAAACAAGTAATTTATATATATATAAATAAGATTAGCACATAAGACTGAAACACATGAATAAACAACATATTGGCATGGATTATCTGATTATATAACCTAATATAGTACCTTATTTATAGATAATCATGAAGAAAAATAACAAAACAACAAAACAACCTAATACACTTAATAGTTTATCCACCTTATATGACAACATGACTCAAAAAGAGCAAAACATTATTAGAATTTTGAAAAGACATGAGCAAGAAATTTTTAGAATATTAGAAAATGTCACTACCAGCTATGATCCCCAACAAGAACTATGGAAAATAAAAATACTACAATATAAGCTAGGACATAAGACAGGAGACCAATCACATATTCTAGTAGGAACAATTCACGTAATCTCAATATTAGATAACATCTTAGCCACTCTATTAAATATAGATCCTGGAACCTTGGCAAAAGAACAGATGTTAAGAAAATATATTATTACTCTGTGAAAAAAGGGACAAGGCAAGAAACAAGATCCCAAAGCTCCTATACTTGAAGAAAGGTGTGTAACATGTTAACAAATAAGGCAGAACATCATATTACAAGTTACATATAAAAGAACCCAGGGGAACAAATAATATTCCAATATATATTCAACCAACTTCTACAGAAACTGAGAAAATCCAACCAATTAAAGAAGTTAAAATGAAAGACCAGAATATAATAGAGCTGGCAGAAGCAGAAACAATTAAGGAAACAGTTCAAGGAACTTGTATTACAGAGAATATTTCTTATAATATATGCAATAAAATACAAGGTTCTACAGTTAATCCCTACTTCATCAAACAAACAGGTAATATTAAATTGGGAGTGCTTCAAGCTACACTGCCAGGAGACAACAAAGAAAAAGGAATCAAATATCTCAAGGAAATCTTAAGTATTCCCAAGAGACAAAACCTCTTCAAGACTGAGTTCATCAATGGCAACCACTGGATCACTTTTGGTATTGATGAAGAGGAGGATGCAGCATGATATTTGAAGGCGGATCATCATAATCATCATACATGAGCGGATTTATGATGCGTGAATTTTTTCCTTTAGGTTTTTCCAGTGAACTTTTAGCATCACCCATATAGTATTTTAATGCTGAAGTTTAAGAACGCAAAGCTGTATTTCGGCAATGTGACTTTTTAAGATCTTCCAATACCTTAATGGTATCATCTAAGCCCATCTGTGCAAAAAAAATAATGATCAGAATGAGATGCTTTAATATTTAATACAAAGAAATGGAAATTAAATTTTGCTTACTCCAAGATTCCACAGGATCCTCAGTGCACTTACTAGTTCATGATGGTCCTCCCAACTGATTGGAAGCCGTAAAGTACCAATGAGAAACATCCGGTAAGTCTTTGAGACAGGCAAATCCATTCCCCATACTTGCACATTTAATCCTATTTACAAAGAGATAATTTGTTTAAATACAAAAATAAAGACTTAGAATTCATCAATTAACTTACCATGCATATGAAAAAACCGGGTACGCAGACGCCTCATAATTTCGTAGTCACCACAATTAAACCTTGTAAATATATCATTAAGAAGGTCACGACTGCCCCCCATATCCCTTCACGTGATCCTTTAGATAGCGAGGCATATCAAAGGTCAAATAGCCACTGGATAACTCTATAATGACTAATTCAGGTCCGTTCTCACCAGGGACTGGAAAAAACCATCGACCTTCACACCCAAGGGTTTGTCATCTGTAGGTTTGAGATCACGTCTTAATAATCACTGGTTTGCACTAGCTTTAAGGCAAATCTAACCACTATATTTGAAAAGAAACTCGCATTTTAATGTTGCAAAGAAAAAATGAATAAAAATCGAATGTAGATTTGATATTAGCATCGAAAAACATACGGCACGTATATAGGATGACCAGTTACTGCATTTGCAAGATACTGTAACACCGGATGAATCATGAGTGAGCCCAAAATTTCTTCATTTTTATTCGTACTGTGAAAAGTTGACGCAGTGTTGAATACATTTTTTGCACTTTCAAATTAAAATAAGTTAATAAATAGGAGATAATAAATAAATGGTACTATCTCTGCAAAAACCAATATACTTACAACCACATAAGGACATCCATTACAAATTCTATTTCCTTATCGACTTCATCGAATTTGGTTTTACGAAGACATTGTTTATACTTCATTAACGAGTTCTGTTATTAATTAATAAATGCAAAAAACATTTTCATTAAAAATAAAGATTAATTTGTACTTACAGTCTCTAACAGTGCAGTAAAAAGATTTTCCACATCAGAAGACAAATTATAATTTGGATATTCAACGCTAGCTTGTAAATAATCCCAGTCTTTTTGTTCAATCCATTCTGGTTTACGAACTTTTGCACCAATGCGTATAATACCTAGACGTGACGGGCCATATGTACAGTATATAAATGGCAAGATTATAGGTTAGTTTGGAAAGCGTGTTAGATAAAAAGGCATAAAGAGAAGAAATGATGAATATGAAACTTACTGAGATTTATGTAGGTTTTAAGGACCACGGATTACTTCTTTAATCTATTTTCCGGAAGGCAATAACCAAATATCGTTTTGGCTGTTTTTGTTGGGATATTTTAATTGTTTTTAAAAGATATTTTCTCATACAACTCGGATTCTGTAGATGTGATGTTTGAATCTATATTGAGCGCCTCAATGTCGTCAAAATCTGCTGTATCATCTGATCTGTCATCGAAAGCAGGCTTCTCCATATTCTGTGTATAAAGAGATGTGATGTTTGGAT